TGCTCGCCGAGAAGAGAGGCGCAAAACTATTTTTAAGACGGAGAGGAAGTACCTCGAATACCGCACCAAGTACCGCGAGATCTGTAGGCGGTTTGGCGAGAGTGGCAACTTCCAAGCCATCAGGGACAAGCTAAAGCAGAAAGATGACGAGTTGATGAGGGTCATCGGCAATGGAACATCCTCGAAGGGGCGTTGAGGGACAAATAAGAGGAGCTCAAAGTGAGCAAGAGAGTTGAGGCCCAATGTGCGGACCTTCAGGCCAAGTGATATCTCTGTGGGCCGAGCTCGAGCAATGTTTGGTCAGGGCCGATGTTTTGAGTGGCAAAGTAGCCGAGAAGATGATGGATTTGGAGAAGGCCAAGTTGGCTCGGTTGGCGGCTTCGACAAAAGTGGAGGCTTGAGGACACAATCTGTGTTCTTCGATCTGAGCGAGCAAATGATATGGAGATGGCCAAACTTAGAGAAGAGCGGCTCGAAGAGCAAATAGAGGTCTAGTAAAAGAGGTCTCGAAACTTGGTGACCAAATCGTCGTTGAAGCCGAGAAGACGCAATTGTTGGCTCAGCCGTCCTCCTCTCACACTTCTTCTTATCCTGATGTTCCGCGGGATTCATATGAGAAGTGGATCCACATCGAGGCCCGGCTGGATATAGTCAGAGATTTGATGACAACGGGGAATGTTCCTGAGGCCGATTTTGAGGATGCTCGTACTAAGGCGCGTGCAGCTTGGATATCCTGCGGCTATGGCCCTGCTACACCGAGGGCCGGCGATGGTGAGGTTGATTTAGATGGGATTGAGCAAGACGTCTGGTACGAGGACGGATATCGATGGCGATGACGATGGTGGAGATGTCGCTGCTAGGTCGGGTGGTGAGTAATTATTCTTTGTTTGTAATTTTTGTTCACTCTTTTGTGGGCGTCTGTCTAGCCCTTGTAAAGAATATTTTTGAATTATGAAATGCTATTTTCGCTGCTCGTATCTGATTCTTTCCTTTGTTTGGTCCTGTACGCTTCCTTCTTTTGTTTTATCATTTGGTCGCCTTAGTCGTAAAATTTTGGTTTTGGTCATGGCCGGGGCTGATAGGTGTTAATTCGAGCGAGGTCGAATGTGAGTTAATTCGAGCGAAGTCGAATATCACTTTAGTTAATTCGAACAAGGTCGAATGTGAGTTAATTCGAGCGAGGTCGAATATGAGTTAATTCGAGCGAGGTCGAATGTAACTCTAGTTAATTCGAACGAGGTCGAATGTGAGTTAATTCGAGCGAGGTCGAATGTGTGTTAATTCGAGAGAGGTCAAATGTCACTTTAGTTAATTCGAACGAGGTCGAATGTGAGTTAATTCGAGCGAGGTCGAAAGTGAGTTAATTGCAACCAGTGGCCGAGTAGAAATTGAGGCAATGTTGCACTTGCCAAAACATGGGCGAATTTCATATACTTGTGTTTTGCTCATATATTTAGAGAAATTTACATGTTTCTCAGGCCGACATTCCAGTCCTGTCTATCCAGTCCCTTCATTGGGCGACCTGGAGACGTATTGAGAGGTTGGGCAATGAATTGACCGTCCGATATCCTTTTTCCGTTTGTATTTCTACTTGAAGTATCCCCCTTGTCGCCTCGTTAAAAACCTTCTTGAGAAAACCTAATTGGGACAAAACCCAAGTGAGGAAAAAAGAGTACGACTTAGATGACGTTTTTTTTAAAAGTTGAAGTACTTAAGGTGGGCGACGTTCCAGTTGTTTGGTAGTAATTTTCCTTCCATTTTTTCTAGTTGAAACGACCCTTTATTTGCTGCTGCCATGATTTTGTACGGGACGTCCCAATTTGTTCCTAGTTTGCCTTCCCGTGTGTCTTTGATTTCTTGTGTTTTGGCCTTGAGCGCGTAGTCCCCGACTTTGAGTGGTCTGACTTTTGCCTTTTTGTTAAATAGCATTCTGCCTGTTGCATCTGGGCGACCATCCTTATGTAGGACATATCCTTCCGCTCCTCGACTTCATCGAGCTCTTGCCTTCTGCTTTCGTCGTTCCTCGGCCCGCTCTCGTGGGAATATCTCAGACTGGGCTCTCCTACTCCGATTGGTATTACTGCATCGGTCCCGTAGACTAATGAGTAGAGCGTCTCTCCTGTGCTCCTCTTTGGCGTTGTGCGGTAGGCCCAAATTACTTCTAGCAATAGCTCCAGCCATAGTCCTTTGGTGGCCTCAAGCTTTTCCTCATGATGTTCGGTATTGATTTATTGGAGGACTCCGCTTGCCCATTGACCGCGGGGTGATAGGGCATGGAGAGTATTCTTTTGATATGCCACTTCTCGAAGAACTCGATGACCTTTTTTCCGGTGAATTGGGGTCCATTATCGCAACTGATCTCTTTGGGGAGGCCGAAGCTGCACACAATATTTTTCCATATGAAGGCGATCACTTTTTGTTCACGTATCTGGGAGAATGCTCCTACTTCTACACATGTAGAAAAATAGTCAGTTAAAACCAAAAGGAATCGTACGTTACCTTGCCCCGCAGGGAGGGGGCCGACGATGTCCATTCTCCATTTGATGAAAGGCCAAGGCGAAGTGACTGAGTGGAGATGCTCGACCGCTTGATGGATCATTGGGCGTATTTTTGACATTGCTCGCACTTTTTCACAAATTCAGCAGCCTCTTTTTCATAGTAGGCCAGTAGTAATCGGCTCGTATGAGGCATCTAACCAAAGCTCGATTGCTGAAATGGGCTCTACAGTGGCCTTCGTGGACTTTGTCTAGGACGCGCCGCGTTTGATTTGGGCCTAAACATTTTTCTAGAGGGCCGCCAAACGTCCTCTTGTATAGGTTGTTGTGAATGATACTTTATCTGTTCGCTTGCATCCGAAGCTTCCTGGCTTTCTTTTTATCATCTAGGAGTACGCCATCCTGCAAGTATGAAAAAAAAACTATTGTGCCAGTCCCAAGTCAGATTTATAGTCCTTACCTCGACTTGATCTATCGATGAGTGGAGGAGGGTGACCACGTTTCCTTCTCCAGTTATATTTTTAGTGGCCGTCGCTAATTGGGCAAGACCGTCTGCTTTGATGTTTTGTGCCCGAGGGATCTGGTCGAGCTGGTATTCATCAAATTCGGGCAGCAGCTTACAGATCTCGGTCTGGTATTTTTGCAACCTTTGTTCTTTGATTCGGAAAGTCCCTGCGACTTGGTTGACGACGAGTTGAGAGTCGCAACGTAGTGTTACCCGTCTCACCTCGTATTTGAGTGCTAGATTCAATCCTGCAATCACGACCTCATACTCGGCCTCATTGTTAGTCATATCCGGGCATCTTATGGACTAGCGAATCACTTTGCCAGTCAGGACTTCGAGCATAAGTCCCAGTCCGAACCCCGACGCATTGAAGCGCCGTCGGTGTACAAAATCCATAGATCTTGCATTTGTGGAGAAAATGGGCGGCCTCTTTTTCGACTTCGGGCATTATATTTGCACTGAAGTTGGCGACAAAGTCAGCAAGGACTTGTGATTTTATCGCCGTTCGCGGTTGATATGTGATATCATGCTCACTTAATTCTATGGCCCACTTAGCTAATCTGCCTGATAGTTCGGGCTTATGTAAAATGCTTCTCAAGAGGAAAGTTGTGACTACCGAAATGGGGTGGCGCTGAAAATAGGGTCAAAGCTTTTGTGAAGCTACGACCAAAGCCACGGCTAATTTTTCGAGGTGGGGGTACCTCGTCTCGGCGTCGACTAAGGTTTTGATAATGTAATAGATTGGAGATTGTGTAACTTTATCTTCTTGGACTAGGACCGCACTTACTACCACTTCAGATACGGTGAGGTAGACGAGGAGGCGATCCCAAGGTTCTACTTTGGAAAGCAACGACGGTGATGATATGTAAGCCTTTATCTCCTTCAGGGCTTGGACGCACTCCGAGGTTAATTAAAGGCTGCTGTCTTTCTTGAGTACACCGGAAAACTTGTGGCATCTGTCGGATAACCGCGAGATGAATCTCGACAGGGCGGCGATACGGCCAGTCAGCCTTTGAACCCGTTTTTTGCTGGTTAAGTATTTTGGTATTCCTACTATGGCTTTGATTTCGTCGGGGTTGACCTCGGTGCCTCGTTATGATATTAGGAAGCCTAAGAATTTTCCTGAGGCCACGCCGAATGCACACTTTTCAGGGTTTAGCTTCATGCCGTACCGTCTGAGTATGTCAAAGGCTTCTTTCAGGTGGTCGATGTGATCTTCTTTCCTTTTGGACTTGACCAACATATCGTCTATGTAAACTTTCATGGTCTTGACGAGTTGATCTTTGAACATTTCGGTCACCAACCTTTGGTATGTCGCCCTCACATTTTTTTAGTCTGAAGGGCATAACTCTGTAGCAGTACGTTCCTTGGTGGGTGATGAAGGTAGTCTTCTCCTTACCCTCCTCTTTCATGAGGAGCTGATTGTAGCCCGAGTAGGCATCTAAAAAGCTCAGCAGTTCTTGCCCGACCGTCGCGTTAATGAGATGGTCAATATGAGGTAGTGGGAACGAATCTTTGGGGCACGCCTTGTTTAAATCTATAAAGTCCAGGCATATCCGCCACTTTCTGTTCTTCTTTTTCACCATGACCACATTGGCGACCCATTGGGAGTATTTTGATTCCCTGATGGAACCATTTTCCAGTAATTTTTTGACCTCCTCATGGACTGCATCATTTATGGCTGAATTGAATTTTTGTCTAACCTGTCTCACCGGGGGGTGGAATGGGTCGATGTTCAATTTGTGTGTGGCAATATCCTTTGGGATACCTGGCATATGTGCATGGGAATAAGCGAACAAGTCTGCGTTAGCAGTTAAGAATTGACGGACTTTACCTCGATCTTGAAGTCTGCAGCCGATGTAGGCTTTCTTGCTGTGGTCGTTATCATCAAGTTGGACGGGGTCGAGGTCTTCTATGGTTGATCCCGCGGCCTTCACTATTTTGAGATCTTTGATGATGTCCACTTTTTCGTCATAGCTCGACCTCGGCCTAGTTAATTGCTATGCCTCTTTTGCTTTGCCTTTCATTTGTTGGGTAGTTGTACAATCTTGGGCGATGCGGTAGCACTCTCGAGATGTGTGTTGTTCTCCCCGTATGGTGAATATTCCCCACGGGGTTAGAAATTTGATAACTTGGTATAAGCTGGAGGGAATGGCCCTCATGGCGTGTATCCAAGGTCGTCCTATTATGGCGTTGTACGCCGTATCTTGATTCATGACATGGAATGTGGTTTCCAAGGTGACGCCGCCGGCTAGGACGGGGAGTGTGATTTCTCCAGATGTTCGTTCAACTGCATTGTTAAAACCTGTTAGCGTGATACAGCGTGGAACTATCTTATCCTCGAGTTTCATCTGTGCAAATACTCGAGGATGGATAATGCACGCACCGCTCCCGTCGTCCACCATAATGTGTCTTACATCTGTATCTAATAATCGTAAAGTGATAACAAGGGCGTCATAGTGAGGGAAAACCAAACCGTGAGTATCCGACTTATCGAAGATGATACTTTCTTCAAGTTTGTCATATCGTTCATGAGTGATCAACCACTTGAGTTTATGGGTTGTGGTGAATTTTACGCTGTTGATTGATGCGTCATCGCCTCCTCCGATGATCATTTGAATAGTGCGAGTTGGGGAAGGCCGTTTTGGCGATCCCTGGTGTTGTTCACGTCCTCGGACGAAGTTGGTCCTGCCTCGGTCGCTCAGCAATTCTTTCAAGTGCCCTTGGTGAAGCATGTTTACGACTTCCTGCCTTAAAGCAATGCAGTCCTCAGTTTTGTGACCTCGCTCTTGGTGGAACTCGCAGAGGGCGTTTGACATTCTGGTGCTTGGGTCCAACCTCTTCTTTTGCGGCCACTTCACCTTAGGTCTGAGCTTCTCCAATGCGTAGACTATTTCTAAAGGCGATAAACAAAAATTGTGAGTGGATAATGAAGGGGGCATACCTCTCTCGTTCCGTCGAGTCCCTGTTTTAGGCCTAGATGGGCCATCTTCGTGGCGGGAGGGGGGCATCATGGCGCTTCTGACATACGGCTGATGCCTTTCTCGATTGGGTCGTGGATCTGCTAGATCCCTCATGGCATCGTTTCTTCGATCCTTCCTGGGCTCGGGCTGTACCGAGGTCAACCGATGGGTTGGCCCATTCAGGTCATCTTCGTCAGCACGGACCTCGGCACAGTAGGCGTTGTGTATTTCATCCCTAGTAGTTGGAGGAAACTTCATAAGCCGACTTAACAATTTTCTGGTCACCCTCGAACCGTTCCTGTCCAACTCGTTTTGGAAAGCTGCTACAGCCATGCCCTCTGATACATTTGGCAAGGTCATCCGTACTCGATTGAAACGAGCGAGGAAGTCCTTTAATCCTTCTCCGAGCGATTGTTTGATGGAAAATATATCGTTCACTCTTGCCTCTGCCTTTTTGGCCCCAGCATGGGCCGTTAAAAACTTGTCGGCCATCTCTTCGAACATTTCGATGGAGCGAGCAGGCAGTTGTGAGTACCAAGTCAATGCTCCTCCGGTGAGGTCTTACCGAACTTTTTCAACAAAATGGAGGATACTTGTTCTTTGGCGAAATCATTGCCTTTTACCGCCATAACATAGTGAGTCACATGGTCCTCGGGGGCGGTCGTGCCGTCGTATATCTTCAGATAAGGCAGCATCTTGATAGTCTTTGGTATGGCATGCGGGGCATCTTCATCACTGTAGGGTTGTTCAACGAACTGACCAGCATCTCTTTTCGGCAAGAGTTTTGGGGCACCCGGTATTTTGTCGACTCTTTCTTGGTGCTCTCTCATTTGATCCCGAAGCATTTTGTTTTTATTTTCCATTTCTTCCATGAGGGTGTCGTCACCTGCATTATTAACATTGTGAGTGATACCTGTTATTGGAGGGAGAGGGCCGTGCTTCTCAGCTATTACTGGTGCAATGCAAGTCCTTGTGTTTTCTCTAGCCGCCTCATAGGCGGGCTTGTCAAGGATACTGGTCAGCGTGTTTGTCAGCCACGCCTCAAGTAATTTTTTCACTGCTGGTGGTGCCTCTTCCGTCATGGACGTGGAAGCTTCTTTATCGCGGGACGCTGTGATACTGGCATGTGGAATGGGGGACCCGTCTCGCCTGGGAGAGACTTTAGGCGTTATGTCTTCGCCTTCCGTTTCAGAAACCTCATTGATAATGTTTAATAGGTTGGTAGCGAGATTGGCTACTGCCTTTATTCTTTCTTCTCCGTTACCTGCTATGTCAGATCTGTGTGTACAAGGAAGTAGGAGTTTTGTTTTTTTTTTTAACCGTGCTAGTTATAGATCTAAAGGAAACTAAAAATTTAGCTAGGAAATCCCACAGACGGTGCCAAATTATTTGACCAAAAATTATAAACCCTTGGTTAAACTAATTAATTTTGTGTAATTAGGGGTTAAACCCACTTAATGATAATAACCTCTATAATCGGTGGTCATAAATAATAAAAGGACAATATTTAGAGGAGATTAAATATGATGTGCATTCAATGTCTTAAGATGATGGAATATCGAGCAATAAATAGCATCGAATGGCATTAAAGTAAATGAGAAGAAGAATTCACCCAATATTGAATGAGGTGGATAATTTCTCCTTCTAACAAGGATGAATGATAGATAAATACTAGAATATTGGGACCCTTTTCGGATCTAATGGAAAAGTGTGGAATAATAGACAATCGAATCTCTTTAGAAAGGTAAAGTTTGTATTTTATCTAGAGAGAGTATGTTTTCAAAGAGTGTTCTTATCAGAGAATATTACGTACCTTTCACCTTATCTCTTTATCTATTTATATGGGACATACCCCTTATCAACCCTAAAAGTACAAGTACAGAGAATGTCCAATGGAATATTCACAAAACTAGTCGTTACTGTTGTTCCTGACATTTGACCTCGACCATCATTGACTGCCCGGCTATGGAAATTATGTACTAGTCGACCTCGGCCAAATTACTTTTTGTAATACCTCTTCATGTTAAATTTCCTTGAGGCAGATTTTGACCCCATACACTCTTAATGCTAAGCCAAATGCGAGTACACAATATTCGGCTCCTAAATTATTTGCAGTAATATTATGGCAGTCGAGGTTATATAATAAGGCTGGAGGCGTGATGGTCTTTTGCGGAGGTAAAATAGTGATTGGAAAAAATAATAAAGGTGAACGTGCGAGAGAGATCGTCTTAATGGGGTGATATTTATGTGGAACTTTTGTTTGTTCCTTCTATGAGTGTTGTCGGAGTGAAGTGAGGATGGAGTAATGTCATCTTTAGGTGATGTTTTTAAGACTTGAAAGAATCAAATTGGGTGGTGATGATCTGGTTTAGAGGGAGCAAAGTTGGACCATTTCGTATAGTTAAGGGCATTTTGATCATTTTTCTCTTTGGTAAAAGACTCACGTGTTAGAAAGCTTTTATTGTTAGTCAATAAAGACAAATCTAGCTCATTTTTTAGGAAAACTATCGGTTGTTCATTTATAAGTAGCTCATTATCAAAATCGGCCGATTCATAAAATATTACTAATATTAGCCAACTAACTATTTGTCAAAAAAAAAGGTCAATTTTTTGCTTTCTTTTGAGTGGGTGTTATTATAATAGATTGGGTACATCTTAAGGAGCTTGAATCTCAATTTTGGGATGATTTGGTGAAGTTTTGAGGTGATTTGAATTGAAAATTCGAAGTAAAAACTGAACATAAAAAAACGATATGTGTATCACACTGTGTATCATTTGTGTATCTCATATGTATCATATTTGTATCAATTGTGTATCACATGTATACCTGTGTGTGAGATTTATGCGTGATACATGTGTTGCAGAAGAATTTTTTGAACTCGATTTAATTACGAATTTTGATACAAAACCAGTCAAATCACCTCCAATCTTCCTCAAATTTTGTATATTGACTTATCTATATGTTTTCAATGAATTTCAACTATACCCATTGAAAAAGCTCCTTTTTTCCTTAGATTTTTGGAATATTGTGTATTTTTTTTTGTATTTCATCACCTTATTTGCTATCTCATCCATGAAGTTTTTTTTCTGTCTTACATCTAATGTTGCTAATCACGCTTAAAAATATGGAAGGAGATTTTTGCATTCGATTCTTTGAGAGAAAGAACCTTATTTATTTGGTTTTTCAATTTTTATATGTGCTCGGCTAGTTCTGGTAAATCTATGACCAATGGCTAGAGTTTGGTAAGTTGAGACTTATTTGAAATATTTGTATAAGTTTCCCATTTTTGAACGGCAAGGCTAAATCCGACCCCGAACATTAACGGATGACAAATCTAAATCATTTATTCAAGGGCAAAATTCAGATCTTCCCATTCATTCATAATTAATATGCAGACCGTGTATCTAATTTTTTTTCTTCAAATGGCCAACTTTCTAAATACGAAGTCACAAAAATGGCCCCTTAGTGTAAATAAATTATCATCACATTATCCTTGTTACTGCACATGTAATGGGCTAAAGGGCCGGGTACACTAATGAGCTGGACTTAAGTATGACCCAAGAACGATTCCCGAATTACTTTATTCTCAAGCCAACCGAAATACCCCGAATCCTCCAGAAACTTTACTCCACTTTTCTTCAGCTCTCTTCTCCCTCTTCAAAAGCTTCAATTCATACCAAAAACCATTCAGCAAATCGCAAACGAAAAATCAAACAAGTTATCAGAGGCAAAAAACAATGTTTTTCTTCTTTGTAGGAGGGCTAGAGCAGCAGGCGAGACAGGTATTGAAGAGCGGGGTAGGAAGGTGTATAGCATGCGGATCACGTGCTGACCTCGTCGACTACGAGAAGGTTCTGAAGCTCTTCTTTGTTCCGGTATGGAGATGGCCGGGGAAAGAGCCGGTGATGTACTGCAACGACTGCAATCTTTTCTTCCCTCAATCTCTAACTCCTCCGTCGCGACCACCGTCGTCCATGGCCGATGTCCCGGAAGTTCTTAGGTGTCAGTTCTGTCGCCGGGAAGTGGATGGCGAATTCCGATTCTGCCCCTTCTGTGGTAATGCACTGTGAATTTCTGATATATAACAGGCGCTTCAGGGTTTGAATTCGTATAAATGTTTGTAATTATGTTCTTTCTTTTAATAAGTGTGAGTTTGAGGAATAAATTAGGTTGTTCTGTTTTGATAGTGTAATATAATATATGAGTAATTAATGATCTAATGTTAGGAAATTTATAAAGTACATACTGTAGAAAATGACGACTGGATTACTACATACTAATATAGATGTGTAATTACTTAAACCAATTAATTAGTGCCCATTTTGATGGCTCTAAAACTGTAGAGCACTTTAAACATGGCAGTATTGAAAGTGTTCCCTGGAAATAAATTAATCAATTATAATTAGAAGAAAAAAATATAACTTGAGAAGCATTTAGCTACCAGGACCAACAATTCCTAATATATAAGCGAAGGGGAATTGTTGGTCATATTGAAAGCAGATTAATTCAATACTCATCATAATCATATTGTTGATCATAGTCATATCCTCCAACATCTCCATCATACTGCAGATGCTCGCCAAATGCTTCTTCATTTGTCTCTTCTACTTCCGGATCAATTTTGCTGATCTTTACCACGTTATCATATGTTGAATCATCCACCTTCCTGACTTTTTTTGGATTCTCAGGTATTGCAGTTTCATCAAAAAGCTTCTCTAGCAAATCATAGTTAATCTTAGAGCTCAGCCTTTTTTTAGTTAACATTTGCTTCGTTGCTTCTGCAGCGGTTTGAGCAGGACCGGAGTTTTTCAGTTCTGCAGCCCTTTTCTCTCGTTTTTCCTTTCTTGATTTTGCAACAGCGGCAGCAGCATCAGCAGCAAGCTTCTGTGCAGCTTGCACATCTTCAGAACAGTTAGCTAAAGTGAACTCCTCGTAAGCCTTCTGTGCAGCTAATGCAGCTGCTTCCTTAGCTGCTTGTTCCTCATATTCCCAATTCATTTTTACCCAAATGATCTCTTTGTACTGCTTCTCCTCCTGATTTAGAAGATAACCCTCAACCTCTACATCATCGATATCCAAAAAGTTACCTGATTCATCATGTTCATCAGGACCCATACATTCCGTGCCATGTAATGTATCACAACTCGCATTATGCTCAGAGCCTGATATCTGCACTTGTTCTCCCTTTTCAGGCTCCAAATACTCGCGGCCATTGTTCTCCACCTGATTGGACATGGGAAAATTTGGGTCTTCAGCAGCTTCTTTTGCCATTAATCTTTCTTTCTCAGTGCGTTGGAAGGCGGGAGGTTCAGATCCTCCATCAATCCCACCTGAAAGTTTTACAAAATCAATGTAACAACTTTCACATAGACCATGGGCAAAGGGCAGCTCCACACTTTTCTTGTGTTCACATAGCACTTCTGCGATCCCAGATCCTTTTGACCTGGAATAAAGTTGCAGGGTTAGCCTCTCTTCTTTCTCAAGCTCCTGAGCTCTTGTATTTAACTCATCAATCGTTAAGCTCCCAGATTCTGTGTTTTCAAATTCAATCAATCGCTTTGTCAATGTTGCTTCACAAATATGCACGACTTTGATAATTTCTGATTTAGAACAACTCAGTCCATGTGAAAGAGCAGCAATATAAAGTGCAGCTCCACATACTCCACTTGGCTTTCTCCCCGTCTGCATCCAATCTCGCTTCATGCTTGCCACAATGTGAAGTGCAGTTCTAGATATATTCGGCTTCCTTCCCCTGAATAAACGATCAGTGAATCGATGAATGAAAAGGCTAGGATCCACAGGTTTTTGAACAATTGGATCGTGTTCAAGGCTTAGAAGTTTGCAAAGCTGTAGGAAAACAGCACCTAAAACATACACATTTATCCTCAAGTACTCAGAAAAATCAATAAGTAGGAATGGCTTATTGTTATGCCTACATGCAATGTAAAGACAAGCAGCCTCAACTTGCTCTTTCCTACGACCCCTTGTGAAATTCCTCTCAAGTGCTAGCGTATAGAGACGCGACGCCGGACTATATATTGATTCACCACCGTAAATTCCTAATGCATATCCCATACTCTCTATATCATTATATGCTTCATCTATTGTTCTTTGACGTGAAACTGAGAAATCAGTTTGGACAGACCGCACAAGTTTTCCTGACAATTGGCTCTGACCAGAAGAATTCTTAAAGAAAGTTGGCTCAATTGACAAGTTATCTTCGTAGAGAACTTTTCCACAGGAGGAACAACTTATTTTACCATCCAGATTCGCGGGTTCCCTGTTCTCTTCACAGTTACTACACCACACCATTGCTCGATTGATAAACACAGACTTCAGACCAAGATTTCTACCCAATCAAACGGGTATAAGCGAATTGTAGGAGAAGTAGAGAAATAGAGAGAAAAAGCATAGGGTTTTACTCCCGATCAACTTCCCAGTTCCGAGTGGGAGTGGGAAAGGGATGGCTACTTATAGGGTTCGGTCGACTTTAGCAGTCGGGTCGGGCATTTGGAAAAGTTTCGAGAAATTGATATTGTATAACCTAAGGGTGTCAATGGTTCGGTTCGGTCGGTTATTTTATAAAATTTGTACCATATCAATTTTTCGGTTATTCTATTATGCATAACCAAAATTAGACTTTTCGAAACCGTCTCAATCATGTCGGTTTCACTTCGGTATCGGTACGGTTCGGTTAATTTTCAGTATTTTTTTAAATGTCATGTAAAATTCTCCTGTAAAAGTAGAATGCAATAACATGCGTTCTTTTATAGGATTTAGCAAAACTCTCTAGACATTTTTACGGTTTAAAAGGTGATGAATTAAAAAAAAATGAAAGATGGCTAGAGTATAGATACATCAACTATTCGACAACAATGTAAAAGAAACCAAGTAAAAGCAAAGAAAATATAAATCACACAAGTGGAAAGATATTAACCAAGCTGGGACTCAAGAATAAAGTCTATATTAAATATTAAAAAAGATAAATCTAAATTATATGAAGGGAAACATATCCAATACATTATAGTTTGCTACTCATAATCGCTGGAATACTTTGTGTCTTGCTAATAAAAATACTTGAAATAACTTAGTTTAAGTATAAGTAGGATAATAGGTTTTAAGAACTAGTATTTTGAGTTTAATTACTTGTTGGCTTGTAACAGTTTTTATAATTTCAAGGCCCAATGAAAGATTTAATGCTTTATTAGTTTTAAGCTTACTATATAAATATATTTTTCACATATAAAATTTATTCGGTACTGTTCGGTATTTTTTCGGTTTATTTTTACAAAATAAAAAACTTACCCTAATTATCGGTATGGTTATAGATTTATATAAAAACCTACTGTTTCTTTAAAAGAAACCTAAAAATCGATTCGGTGCGGTACGGTTCGGTCAGTTTAGTCGGTTTTCAAATATCCATTGACACCCCTAGTATAACTGTTCTCAAAATAATAGTCCAAAAAATATATATTTTTGTATATATATGTTATATTATATAAATTTTATACACTTTTTGGACTGCCAAATATAAATAATTTCTGGCGCGGGCTAAAAATTTAAAAAAAAAACAAACAAAAGTTTCTCTGCTGATCGTCAAGCCTAATAAGAATAACTTGAACTTTACATATTAGAATATTAATATTGGTGATTCTAAAATCTTTTTTGTTTGTGTTGTATATAAGGGTGTCTAATACCTAGCAGATATATCTACCAGTATCGGACTATCTTAAAGAAGCTGTGCGTACTGATAAAGAAGGATTCACAGTTATTAGAACTACTACTACTAATACTGTTGTACTAAATAATTTGGCCATGTTGGGCAACCCTGTAATGACTTCTTTTGGTTGTACTGCTACTTCTACTAGTATGCCTTCGTCTGCTCCCAATGGGAAGACCAGGCTTTCGGACCGGCCCAGACCGGTTGAAATCGAAATCGGCCCGGATCGGTACAAGGGGGCCGGGTGGGGCTGGGTTAAAGGGGTAGGGGGTTTGGTCCGTTCACCTATTTTCAACCGGTTAACCGGACCGATCAAACCCGATCAACAGAAATACTGTAGAACCGGTTAAACCGGCCCGGGACCGGCCCAGATCGGTTAACGGCTAGTTTCTTTTTTTTTTTTTTAAAAAAAATTATTGATTGGGCAGCCCATGTTAAACGTTGGAAACGGTCACCTGCCAAGGAGCCGTTGCCCAACGGCTGATTTGCACAATTAGCCCTTTTTGGGTCTTTTTTTTATAAAAATTAACACTTTTGTAATTACAAATTTAACCCTTTGAAAAACTATAAATACACCCCCCCTCTTCTTCATTTCTTCACTCATTTCTCATTTCTCAATCTCAATTATCATATTCTCTCATTCTTCAATCTTCACCTAAAGTGCAATCAACTATTTGGCTCTTTTTTTTTTTTGGAATTTAATTTATCGTAGTATTCATTATTTGAAGTTTGAACAATTGAACTTCAAAATTGGAACAATTGACGTTTTTTCGTGGTAACATTGGAGTTGCGAAATCATCAAGTGCTCAATTTATTGCCGAATTCGGTGCACTCCCTCCAACTCTTTCTCTGATTTACTATTTTATTTGCATATTTAATTGTTGCTAGTAGTTAAATTTTTACAATATGTTTAATGCTGCAAAAAGAGTTTGTAATAAGGTTACTAATCAGGGAAATAAAAAAAGAGGTAGTACTTCTGCTTCAGCATCTTGTAGTAATTTAAATGACTCTACAAATATTCCTGAAACATTACCTGATAATAATATAGATTATGAACAATTCCAGGAAGATTTCGGTATAGAAGATAATGAATTAGAAATGGAAGATGAGATACCACTTACACCTAGTAGTGTTGGAGCTGGTAGCAGGGGTGGTGGTCGTGGTGGTAGTAGTAGACCACCTATGGCCCCGATTAGTAATCGGAGAAAAAGAAGTAAGGTTTGAAATTTTTTTGACGAAATAGAAGGTGCTGATAGAGTTAAATGCAAACTTTGTAATGATACTTTTAAACATAAGACTGGAGGACAATTAGGGGGGACTGAGACACTTAGTAGACATATGAGAATTGAGCATCCTATAGAATGGGGCTCTGATGGAGATGGAAATCAAACAACTCTAAACCCTACTACTGGAGGTCTTATGAAATATGATAAAATGAAGGATCGTGAGGAGTTAGCAAAAATTATTCCTTTGGGTTGTCTACCTTTTTCTTTTGCTTCTTCTCATATTTTATTATGTATATTCAAAGGATTTACAATCCTTTATTTAAAGGTATCCCTAGAAGTACTTGTAGATCTGATATCTTTAGACTTCATGGACAATATCAAACATACATACGTTATTTGTTTAGCCACCTTCCTTGTAGAGTTTCTCTAACTTCTGATATAGGCCATGCTGTTAATGGAAATGATTATTTGACAATTACATGTCATTGGATAGATGATAATTATTGTAAGCAAAAACATATTATCGCTTTTAAATATGATGAAGATCAGAGTCATACTACTGCGTTTATAAGTACTACTATTTGTGAAGTTGTTGAATTTTATAATCTCAAGCAAAAAGTATTGTGTATGTCTTTTGATAATGCTTCTAACAAGAATGCCGCAATTTCAATATTAAAACTGCATTTGCAACCACCACTTGCCGAAATTTTTCATGTTAGGTGTGCATGTCATGTTTATAGTTTAATTGTTAAAAGTGGCATTGATTTATTTTCAACTGAGATTACTCATGTTAGAAGAGCAGTTGGTGTTATTCAAGGAAATAATAGACAATCTAGAATAAAGGAATTTAAGAATAAGTGTATCCTAACCTTAAACCCAGATTCATGCAAGACAAAATTGTTACTAGATGGAATTATACATATATATTTTTAAAATGTTGCTACAAATATAGATTCCCAATAACTGAAGTTGCTAATGCGCATTGTACTGATCAAAACCGTATGTTAACAACTACTACTTGGGAGGTCATTAATGATGTTGTTAAATTTTTACATAAATTTTATACAACTACCGTTGAGTTTTCTGGAGCATATTACCCTACTGTTACTATGGCTTTAGTACATATAGCTGAAATTTCTTTTCTACTCTTTGAATTTAAGAAGAAAGAAAAATATAGGGATGTTGTTGAACAAATGCAAGCAAAATTCAAAAAATATTTCTTTCCAATTCCTCCGATTTACTTAATTGGTGCTGTTTTAAATCCTTTTATTAAGATGTCTGATTGTCACCAATTAATGAATGCTTTATATACTTATATGGAGATTGGACCAACTGAAACCCCAGATATATATGCTTGTATGAACAAGGTAAATGATTCTTTACAACAATTATATAATTATTATGCAAATGTAATTGATGATGCTGCTCTTAATGTAGGCAATGTTAATCCCACTATGCACTGTACCACTTCTACTACTGTGGATGATGATGAAGGCCTTGATAGTTTTAATATTTTTTCTACATTTTCTAACACTCAAACCAGTAGCAGGAACATTGATGAACTTCAATTCTACTTGCAGAAGCAAAAAGAGCCTCGCACAAAGGAATTTTCACCGTTGGGATGGTGGCATGAGAATGGAAAGCAATTTCCTGTTCTTTCCGCTATGGCTCGGGACGTGCTGAATGTGCCAATTTCAACTGTTGCATCAGAGAGTGCATTTAGCCAAGCAAGACAACAACTTGGAGACACCCGTCACTCATTGGGAAGCAATGCTTTGGAAGTTTTAGTATGTTTCAGAGATTGGATTAGATCGGAACGAGGAAATCAAGGACGTGAAGATGTTGATAGCCCAGAAGACGAGGAACTTGGAGATATATTAACACATGGTAACCCATCCGAATTTAACACTCTAGAAGAAGGCCACTCAGTTCATATTGATTATGACGAACTTACTAAGGCAATGCAAAACCTTTGAATTTTACTCTTTTTTGGTTAATTTACTTGTTGTTAAATGTAAACCTTTCAATTTGGAAGTTTGAATTTTGAAATAAATGTAGCACTTGCAATTTATAAGTGCAATTTTTTCTCATCTTCATTGTATTCTTTATATTTTTACTTTATATTAATATAACTTACAATAGTTATACAAAATACAAAAAAAAAATTAAATATTACACTAACCTGGCCCGACCCGACCCGGCCCCTTGTACCCGTAACCCTTACGGTTTATTTTTTACCCGTATGAATCCGAGCCCGTTAAACCCGGTAAGCCCCAACCCGTACCCCAACCCGTACAGTTATTAATTTTTCCTACCAAGTCCGGCCCGGCCCGGCCCACCCGCTAGACACCCACTTGTATATACACTTTTTTCTCTTCGATCACAGATAGGTGATAACGTGTCATAAGACTAATAATTTACTCTTCATCGTTTGTATACTTTGACCAATTTAATTACACATAGTTTAACACTGTAATGTGACAAATATTTTTATAATTTTACTGTTATGTCGGTAAAACTTAATTAGGTTGATGACAAAAATCATACAAAAATTAACTCAAACAAGGATGACAAATCCCAAAGCTAGAATAGGATTCACATTAATAGAAAAAATCATACGTAAAATGAACT